ACTGGAGCAATTCTGGAGGGTTATGAGGTCAGAAATGTTGGATTAGTGGGGAGCCAAGGTTTGGAGGAGAATTTCCAAAACAGAAGTGAAAGTCTCTTGGTTTCAGCTGTTGTGACATTGTTGCTGGTAAACTCAGTGCTTTTTTGCCTTCCTCTTCCTTTAGCTCCTAAAGAAGATCAAGCGCTGTGACCGCAAGAGCACAGAGTCTGTGACTGAAGAAAAATGTGCTATTCTTTTCAGCGTTACTATTAGCCTTGGCCCCAACAAAACCAACTTCCATCTTCAGGTAATAACATTACTTGGAATTATCTGTACTTCAAGTGGTGCTGCACCAATGGTCTTATGAATTTGTTGGTGGAGAACACAAATTGGTTCTTCGAAGGCTCTGTGTACATGACCAAATTCCACTGGTGAACCCCCACTGGGTTTTTTACGATTTGGAGGGTGAAAGTAGAAATGATGAATTGTAACTTTGGCAGTGATTAGGTTACCAGCAGGGATAAGAAGTCATGGATCAGCTATTACTGGCATTAGAATCAACGAGATGATATGACATCATGGCTACTTGAGTGTGTATCTGATTCTGTATTATGTGAGCACCTTTTATCCAAGACAAAGCCTCCATTACACCACTGCAATTACTGCTGCTGCTAATGGCTGTTGTAGTACTTATGCATAAACACCCTTCCAGAAGGATAGAACAGTTATGTGTTGTCAATCTTATCTTAGGGTCCAGGTTCTGAAAACAGATGTGGAGCTGGCTTTCTGCCCATGTGGGCTAGAAGCTAATGTGTGGCCCAAACCAGGTAGATGCCCTGTTTCAGAGCAGCAGACCAGGGATCAGAAAGGCCAGAGGCAGATGTATGTTCAAAACAAGGCAGGGGTTGGGTACCCAAGGGTGACATAGGTTAGAACATTTCCCATACTGTTCCTTGGCCTCCAAGGTATTGTAATGAACTTGGCTTTGAATACTTAGAACACTGCAGCTCTGGTTTAAAGGCCAGTCAGTGTTCCCTGGGAGAGCAAAGGCCTTTTGGCTGAGGGAAGCAGTTGTACATGGGCCGAAGGAGGTAAAACAGTAATGGTTTTCTGGAATATTTTGTCAATAAATGTGTAGCCCACCCCGACCCTAAATCTTTTAGAGTTACAGCCTGAGGATCAAATTCCATTTCAAATTTGAGACCCATGGTGGGTGGGGCTGAAGGCAAAAGTAGGGGTAGCAGGGAGACAAAATACCAGCACAGTTCAGCTTAGCACTCTTGCTACCTGTAACTAAGCCTTAGGAGAGGCATTGCTACCTTTGAGATGAAGGAAATCTGCACAAAAGCTGGGACACCACCAAACAATCATCAGGGCTGCAGGAAAGGAGGTGGGACTGGGAGAAGAGGCATGGTGCTATAGAAACTAGAGAGAGCTGGGCTTGTTCCCTGAGGTTCTGCTGTCTTGTGTTGGACAGTGCAGTAGGGAAAGGCCATCCAGTGGCTGACCTCCTTCCTCCAGAAAATTACCCTAGCATCTCCCACCCACTCCCTGAGAGCTGCAACCAGCATGTCAGGCTTTCTGGAGCCCTGAACAGGAGTACTCCAGCAAGGGGCTAGAGATACAGGTCAGCATTTTGATGCAGGTCACCACTTTTGGGTTGCCGAGATTTTCACTCCAACACTGTGGGATCAGTAACTGTGGAGAGATGTGGGTGTGGGAGTCCTGCTGTAAAGAAAGTAAATGCCTGTCACACTGCATTTTCCCATTCCACAACTTCTGTTCCAGGCCCTGTCATTGCCCATTGTGGTGATCGTCCATGGCAACCAGGACAACAATGCCAAAGCCACCATCCTGTGGGACAATGCTTTTGCTGTTCCTGTAAGTGCTTGACCCCAGCTCACATGCCAGGCTCTGTCCCCAAGGCAAAAAAGAGTTCCTGGAGCAATGAAGTTAAAGGACATAGCCTGGCTTTACGTAGCATGTATTGAATAAAGAGACACCTCACACCTGGCTGTTGCTAAGCACAACAGTTTAGTAATGTTAGACTACGTGTTTTAAGATGTGAGTGGAACTGAGATTTTTATAAAAAGCTAATCTTTGAACTCCTATCATATTAGTCCAGTGGTACAGGGAACTGCTGTTGTATACCGCCTTTCCATCCCACTGGAAAAGCATGAGGTGCCCTGAGCCAAGTATAGCAGTTCCTTCTCATGCAAGCATTTATCCCAGGCTCTCAAGGGGTGATACAAAGCACAGACCTTTCTCACTTGGTCCATGCTTCTCACATGCCAGGCTTATGCAGTAGTATGTGAGTTGTACTGGCTAAGCAGAGGGTAGGACTTCCGAGCAGCATGCCTCAGCCTGGTGTCTCCAGGATTTTGGATCACAACTCTCATTGCTCCTGACTACTGACTGTGTAGGCTAGAGCTGATGGGAAGGGTAGGTCAACTGCTTTGGAAAATGCTGCCATAGAGTGTGTGGGGAGGTAACAAAGCAGGTATTGGAAGACATAGTGATGGTACATTCCTGCTGCTTCCTACAGTTTACCAGATGTTAAGTTCTGTCCCTCTGTCCTGTTCCAGAATCGCATCCCCTTTGTGGTGTCTGAGCGTGTCAGCTGGGATGCCATGTTTGACACTCTCAACCAGAAGTTCATGGCTGAGGTACAGACCACTGAAGGCCTACAGAAGGATCACTACTTCTTCTTGGCCCAGAAGATCTTCGATGACAATACTGCCACTCTGGAAGAATTCCAGAAACGCCATGTGTCATGGTCTCAGTTCAATAAGGTCACTCCAGCAGGTTTTGTAGGAAGGGTGGAATGACAGCCAGCTGGGCTTACCTGGCCTTCTCAGTCTCACATGCATCTTGACATTTACAGGAGATGCTTCCCGGGAGAGGATTCACATTTTGGCAGTGGTTTGAAGGAGTTCTCGACCTGACCAAGAAATACCTGAAAGATTACTGGTCTGGCAGGTAAGGGAATAACTGGATCAACTGAGACTGTTTTGCCTCATGGCTTTCTCCATGTTCCACCCACCCACCACCACCACCACCAGGTGTATCTGGAGGACTTTGATCAGTTCTGGATACCACATCTTAAGAAAGAGTTTGGCAGACTGCAGATTATCTAAAGGAGCATGACCAGGATGATGATGGGTCTGGACACCCAGTCCTGGGAGGAATAGATGGAAGAGCTGGATTTTTAGCCTTGAGAACGTAAGATTAAAGGAAGCCATTATAGCTGTCTTCAGAAGGGCTGTCAATGCAGAAGATGAAGCAGAGTTATTCTGTGTTGTTCCAGAGGTCAGAACTAGAACCAATGTGTAGAAATGGCAGGGAAGCAGTTTTGAGATAAAAAATATCAGATGCTCCCTAACAGATTCATTCAGTAGCAGAATATACTGTCTTGGAGGGAGGGGAGTCGAAACTTTGTTGAAGTTTTTGCTATATCAAACCAAGGGTTATTCCAACATGTGTAAATTGTGGTCCATTCACAACTAAATAATATAATCATGAAGGTGAAGATTTTATTTTCATTGGTAAGTATCAGCATATAAGCATTGAAATGCAGTCTGTTGATTTTCTTTTCTAGTCTTTTAAAATGTTGTTTGTGCTCTCTCTTTCTCCATCTGTCCCACATAGACTCATCATAGGCTTCATCAGCAAACAGTATGTTTTCAGGTATCTGAGCAATGCACCAGTTGGCACCTTCCTGCTACGCTTCAGTGACTCCGAGATTGGTGGCATCAGCATCGCCTATGTCACCTACTGTCAGGATGGTATGGCTTTGCACAGTGCAGCTCTTATGGCTCCCTATTCCCTGGGTCTGAGTAGTAAAAATAAGTTTGCCTGCCTGTAAGAGTCTAAGAGACTTGACAGATGACACCAGCATTCGGGCTTAGTCTCAAGTTGTGGTGCTACTTCCCTTTGAGCCCTAGCTCCAGCACACCTCAGTGTCGCTCTGTCAGTTCCAGTTGTACTCATTGACATGATCTTGCTACCTACCTCTTGATGGACACTTCCAGGTTCCAACCTTACAGTACCCATCCACAGTCTGTTCTGCCTGCCTTCACCATGGACACCTGGGGGCACTGCCTGCCCTTGGTAGTCTCGCCTTAGCCGAGAGCAGGCTGCTTGCTTGCTTGCTTATTTATTTATTTATAAAAATTTGTATGCCATCCATTACTGTCGTCTCTGGGCGGCTTACAACATTGTTTCAGAATAAAATAAATTAACTATCCCACACTTACGGGAACACGAGACATCAACTTGCACCTGTGACATACTATATGCACATTCACCTGCCCAAAGACTTTTACATGTGATCATCTGATAAACAGCCAGTTCTGAGGATTTTCCAAAGTGTGTGTTAAGACACACCAGTGAGACTGCTAAAACAGGACTGGAGTCACAGTTATCTCAGGCTGAAGATGAAAGGGTGCCTGGAACGTAGCTGTATAAATATGTTTTTGCATCAGTCTTCCCCATGGCAATACGTGCAGGAATGGCAGATGAACTTTTAGTACAACCTGTGTGGATTTATAGTATGACAGAGTTAAAGGGGCCTCAGTGATCACTGATGAGACCTCAGCTTCCTGGTCTTGCTGTGCATCTGCCAATATAGAGATGGTGAAAATGTCAAAGTCTGCACCAACATGACAAGCCACTGTGGGTTAATTCAATTGTAGGGCCTCTGTGTCAAAACCCAGAAATCATTTTGCTGATACAAGCTGTGGTGGGGGTGTGCCTCAGCTTGCCGTGTCATGCAAACCCAGTGTAGGTGGATTGCTAGCATAGTTAATATACCACCTGCAAACCATGGTCTGTATGAAACCCTGTGGGTGAATTAAGTTGCACTGCTTTGTTGTGACAAGCAAACAATCTCAATACTTTCATGTAATGTCTGAATGAACTTCACAACAAGCATTAGGTCTGCTTGCATTGGAGGCTAGAGCAAAATCTGCTAGGGAAGAGGGACTCCATTATAAGTAGCAGGTTGTCTGCTTTCTCCCAACCATTAAAACTCATTATGGGTAACCTACAATGTGAAGTCATGAAAAGGAACATGGAGGGCTTATGTTTGTGGGAGATGCTTCCCCTTTCTGCCAGACATTCAGCCAGGGGCTCCCTGCCTTAAGAACATAGGAGAAGCACGTCATTCTGTTGAGACAGCAACCACAGTTTCAGGTGTTATCACTCCCTATTATATTGGTTTGAATTGTGACCACATGGAGGATCATGCTTAGGAGAACTGCTTGTTCATAACTTCTGCTGCTTTTTTCCCTGCCTGGCTCAGGTACCACACAGGTGGAAAACATCCAGCCATTCACAGCAAAGCAGCTGTTCATCCGTTCACTTGCTGACTGTGTTATGGATCTATCACAGCTCGAGACACTGTATCCTGATAAGCCCAAACTTGAAGCTTTTGGGAGGTTCTATAACAGTAAGTTATGGGATGGTCAAGAAGGACACAGCTTTGTTCTGTCTGCATCTGAAATGACTGCCTTTCCCCAAAAGCACTTGATAGCCAGGATCATACTTGGATGTCTTCTGACAGCCTAGGTTGACATGCTACTGTGGGCTGCAGTGATAGTACCCACTGGCCCTGTGCTTGTGTGTGCACAGGGTTGGCAGTGGTGGGGAGTGTACATCGGAAGAGGGTTGAGAGGGTTGACATTCAGGTTTCTCTAGTGCAGGGGTGAGATCTACTACTAGATTTCTTGATTATGTGCCTGTAGTTTACCAGATGTTTCTGATCCCTGATAATTTAACAGCAACAACAACAATTCTAGATTAGCCTGCAGAGATTGAAGAAGGTTAGAAGGGATGGAAACTAGGAGCTGATTTTTGTGTGACTGATCAATAAACTCATTTCTGGTACTGTAAAAAATGTTCTGAGCTGAGGATGTTTTCAGCACCAACCTTCTTTATTTGCAAGAGGGTGAAATGGCAACCCACTCCAGTATCTTTGCCATGAAAACCCCATGGACAGTACCAAAAGGCAAAAAGATATGACACCGGAAGATGAGCCCCTCAGGTCGGAAGGTGTCCAATATGCTACTGGGGAAGAGCAAAGGGCTAGTACCAGTAGCGCCAGAAAGAATGAAGTAACTGGGTCAAAGCCAAAAGGACATTCAGTTGCAGATGTATCTGGTGGTGAAAGGAAAGTCCAATGCTGCAAAGATCTATACTCCATAGGAACCTGGAATGTAAGATCCATGAATCAAGGCAAGCTGGATGTGGTCAAACAAGAGATGACTAGACTGAACATCAACATCTTAGGAATCAGTGAACTAAAATGGACAGGAATGGGTAAATTTAATTCAGATGACCATCAGGTATACTACTGCGGGCAAGAATTCCTCAGAAGAAATGGAGTAGCCTTCATAGTCAATAAAAGAGTAGGAAAAGCAGTACTGGAGTACAATCTCCAAAATGACAGAATGATCTCAGTTTGAATCCAAGGCAAACCATTCAACATGGGGCGGTTGTAAGCCGCCCCGAGGCTTCGGCGAATGGGGCGGCATAAAAATGTTTTAATAAATAAATAAAATAAATAAACATCACAATAGTCCAAGTCTATGCCCCAACCACTGGTACTGAAGAGGCTGAAGTTGACCAGTTCTATGAAGGCCTACAACACCTTCTAGAATTAACACCAAAAAATGGTGTCCTTATCATCATGGGGGATTGGAATGCTAAACTAGGAAGCCAAAAGATAATCGGAATAACAGGCAAGTTTGGCCTTGGAGTACAAAATGAAGCAGGGCACAGGCTGGTAGAATTTTGTCAAGAGAATACGATGGTCATAGCAAACATTCTTTCCCAACAACCCAAGAGACGACTCTACACATGGACATCACCAGATGGTCAACACAGAAATCAGATTGACTATGTGCTCTGCAGCCAGAGATGGAGAAGCTCTATACAGTCAGTAAAAACTAGACCAGGAGCTGACTGTGGCTCAGATCATGAGCTTCTTGTTGCAAAATTCAGCCTTAAATTGAAGAAAGTAGGGAAAACCACTAGGCCACGCAGGTATGACCTAAATTATATTCCTGATGAATATACAGTAGAGGTGACAAATAGATTTAAGGAATTAGATCTGATAGACAAAATGCCTGAAGAACTTTGGATGGAGGGTTGCAACATTGTACAAGAGGTAGCAACTAAAACCATCCCAAGGAAAAAGAAATGCAAGAAAGCAAAATGGCTGACTGAGGAAGCTTTACAAATAGCTGAAAAAGTAGGGAAGCAAAAGGCAAGGGAGAAAGAGAAAGATACATCCAATTGAATGCAGAATTCAAGAGAATAGCTAGAAGAGATAAGAATGCCTTCTTAAATGAACAGTGCAAAGAAATAGAAGAAAACAATAGAATAGGGAAGACCAGAGATCTCTTCAAGAAATGGGAGCTATGAAGGGAAAGTTTCATGCAAAGATGGGCATGATAAAGGACCAAAATGGCAGGGACCTAACAGAGGCAGAAGAGATTAAGAAGAAGTGGCAAGATTACACAGAAGAACTATGCAAGAAAGAGCTTAACGTTCCTGATAACCACGATTGGGTGGTCACTGACCTCAAGCCAGACATCCTGGAATGTGAAGTCAAATGGGCCTTAGGAAGTCTGAGCAACAACAAAGCTAGTGGAGGTGACAGCATTCCAGCTGAGCTATTCAAAATCTTAAAAGACGATACAGTAAAAGTGCAACACTCAATATGCCAGCAAATTCGGAAAACTCAGCAGTGGCCACAGGATTGGAAAGTTTACAATCCAATCAGTTTACATTCTGATCCCAAAGAAGGGCAATGCCAAAGAATGTTCAAACAACCACACCATTGCACTCATTTCACATGCTAGCAAAGTGATGCTCAAAATCCTACAAACTAGCCTCTGGCAGTTTGTGGACCGAGAACTGCCAGAAGTACAGGCAGGCTTTTGAAGAGGGAGAGGAACTAGAGATCAAACTGCCAACATACGCTGGATCATGGAGAAAGCTAGGGAGTTCCAGAAAAACAACTACTTCTGCTTCATTGACTATGCTAAAGCCTTTGATTGTGTGGATCACAACCAATTGTGGCAAGTTCTTAAAGGGATGGGAGTACCTGATCATCTTATTTGTCTCTTGAGAAACCTATATGCAAGTCAAGAAGCAACAGTGAGAACTGGACATGGAACCACTGATTGGTTCAAAATTGAGAAAGGAGTTCGGCAAGGCTGTGTACTGTTGCCCTGCCTATTTAACTTATATGCAGAGCGCATAATGCGAAAGGCGGGGCTAGATGAATCACCAGTTGGAATTAAGATTGCTGGGAGAAATATCAACAACCTCAGATATGCAGATGATACCACTCTCATGGCAGAAAGTGAAGAGGAACTAAAGAGCCTCTTGATGCGGGTGAAGGAGGAGAGTGCAAAAGTTGACTTGAAACTCAACATTAAGAAAACTAAGGTCATGGCATCCGGTCCTATCACTTTCTGGCAAATAGATGGGGAAGAAATGGAGGTAGTGGCAGATTTTATTTTCCTGGGCTCCAAGATGACTGCAGATGGGGACTGCAGCCAAGAAATTAAAAGACGCTTGCTCCTGGGGAGGAGAGCTATGGCAAATCTAGACAGCATACTAAAAAGCAGAGACATCACCCTGCCAACAAAAGTGCATACAGTCAAGGCTGTAGTTTTCCCAGTGTCAATGTATGGCTGTGAAAGCTGGACCATAAGGAAGGCTGAGTGCCAAAAGATTGAGGCCTTTGAATTGTGGTGCTGGAGGAGACTCCTGCAAGTCCCTTGGACCGCAAGGAGATCAAACCGGTCAGTCCTAGAGGAGATCGACCCTGACTGCTATTTAGAAGGCCAGATCCTGAAGATGAAACTCAAATACTTTGGCTACCTAATGAGAAGGAGGGACTCCCTGGAGAAGAGCCTAATGCTGATTACAATAGATGGCAAAAGAAGAAGGGGATGGCAGAGAATGAGGTGGCTGGATAGAGTCACTTGAAGCAGTTGGTGTGAGCTTGAGTGGACTCCGGAGGAGGGTGGAGGACAGGAAGGCCTGGAGGAATGTTGTCCATGGGGTCGCGATGGGTCGGACACGACTTCGCAACTAACAATAACAATCTTTGCTGCACGTAGCACTTCTTTGTACCTTTCTTTGGTTGGTGGTTCTAGCAAAAAATAGATACCGAAAGCCTGAAGTACATCCATTCCTGCTGTAATAAGACAAAGGAGGTTGCCTTTTAAAATGCTGAGCATACAGAACACTTCTTCTTTTACGAACTTCTCAACCTCTGAGGTAGCATTCCCTAGGTTGGTGGCTTCCAGATGTTTCAGATGACCCTTTCCATCAGCCTTAGTCAGCACTGTTAGAAATGAAGTCGCCACCCAAAACATCTGGCAGACATCAGACATGATATGGCCACTGTAGATTTGTATGCTTCTGAACATGCCCTGCTCCGCCCTCATTGTCTGCTTTTTGGATGGTGACTCATATGGTAATCCCTCATCCCCAAGGTCCTACACTGGGGAATTCTTGAAACCTGAAATCAGACTAGGCAAGTCGGAGAGCATAACTACTGCTCATAGAAAAGGGCAAACATTGATTTGGATCTTATCTCACTGCAGAATCTGCTCAACATTTCTTTTTCATTATGGAAAATACTGAACTGTTTATGCGTAGTGAGCATAATTGTCAGCTGTGTTTCCTCCCACAGCAGAGAAACCTACAAAGACGCCATATATCCCCGCCAAGTTGAAGATAACTGTGGACATGTGAGTGTGTGCATTCTACTTCTGAGGAAAATGGTACTACTTAGATGAATGAGGAGAGGACTTTCCTTAGCTTAACTCCCAACTCATTCACTTCCCAACTAGTAGATGATGCCTTGAACTGGGGCAGTCAACTAATAGCCCAGAACATCTGGAGAGCTACAGCTCTTACCAGTCCTAACCAGCATAGCTAAAGGTGAGGGAAGTTGTAGGGCAAGACATAGAGAACCAGTACTTGTCCTTCCCTGCCCCTAAACACATAGGGTTGACTTCAGATTCAATAGACCCATTGAAACCAATGAGACTGAAGCTAAGGCCAGTGGTGAACTGGCAGTCCTACTGGCTAGTCCTGGAATACTTATGAATCAAAGGATTGAGGGCTGCTTTCTCCTGCCTGGCAAACAGGGAAGATTGAAAAAGGGTGCTGTTGAGGCTTTCCATGAAGGTGCAAGAAGTGTGTATGTATGTACATATATATGCCCAGTTATGCAAGTCCCAGAATCCTCCTGGCCACTTGAGACCAGGGGTGGGTAGAACATAGGTTTCCAGAAGGTTTGGACTTCAATTCCCAGCATTCCTGACTATTAGCCATGCAGGCTGGAGTTTTTGGGAATGGAAGTTAGAAACTTCTGGATATCTACTTGCTGTACACCACTGTTTAGAACCTAAGATGGGAGGCTATATATAAGCATATAGCCCAGTATCTTGCTTCCAACAGTGACTAGCCAAATGCCTCCCAGAAGCTCACAGACAGGGCAGGAAGACAGTAGGTCTCTCTATTATTTGTCCATGGCATCTGGAATTTGAAGCCACTGAATATGGCAGTTCCATTTAACCATGGATCTATCATGTGAATCTGATCCATTTTTAAAGTTCTCCAAGCTAGTTTTTATGACTGCAGCTTGTTACAGTTAATTGCATCTATTGTGCAAAGAACATGTGAACAGTCTACACTGCAGAGTAATGTGTGAGTTGAGATGCTCACTCACCAGTATGTGGTCTATGAGTGCAGAACCTCAGATCTAGGGACCAATTCCTTTTGCCTTTGGCTCTACCCACCATTGGAATGCAGCTGCCAAAAGCTTAGCAGAAATGGGACTGGGCCTGTCACAGGAAGAAGTTGTGCACTCCTGTTCTGTGGAAGTTCACTTACATATACAAATTATGGCTATCACTGAAACATAACCAGCGTGTATGAACTTATTGACCAGTCGAGTCTGCATAACAAATGATGCTGATGAAAGATATGTTCAATTCCAGGCCTTGCTCATACTCAGCTTCATCAGTTCAGAACCCAGCCATGAGCAAGCTCCATGGGCAACCTGGAATGCCTTCTGATCCAGCTTATCATGAGTAAGTATGAAATCTCTAGTCTGAGGAAAACCCCACCTTTTGAATATAATGTCCCTGTGTTCATGTGCCCATGTGTTTGTGGGTGAACCAGGAGAAGGAGCTGCCCATGAAATCTCTTCACAGTTTTCCATGATCCTCTAGGAGCAAGCAAAAGTCAATTTTATCAGAGAATGCAACATATGTCCCCTTGATTTCTAATAGTGTGCCGAGGGGCCCTAGGGCAGAGGTACCCTCAGTTTTTATGGGTGGGAACAGTCCAACCAGAGAGGGTCATAGCCCACTTAACTAAGGCACAGGAACAACAAAGACTTGCTCTGGGATTTTAGTGTAACTTCTTTACATAATTTCTGCCCCTCCTCTCAAACACACTTCAAGACTCTTAGCCAGTGCACATTGAAATTGGGATATTTCCTATAACCATAAACAAGTGTACAAAAAGAGTGGCAGGTGAACCAATTGCTGCATTCAGATGTTGCAACAATCCAGGATATTTGAAATGTCTTCCCTTGGGGCTTAATAACCCAGGGATGCTCCACGGAACCTTACCCTGTATTGTCTCTGGCCTAATAACCCAGAATTCTCAGACCAGATGGCATGCTAAACAACCCAAAGAAGAAGCATCCTTGGGTTGTTTAGCCCCAGCAGGAGCAATCAGGCAGTAGGGACCAGCATATTTGCTTGCTCTACTTCATTCACAACAACCTGGGGTTTTAAAAAACTCCCGTTTGTTGTGATGTCTGAATGTGAAAAATGAGCAAAATAAACTTTTTGCACAGAGTCAATTAAAGGAAGTGCTCTGTGGACGAATGCAGCATGCCAAGTTGATGTTTATATAATTTGTCACCTCCTACAGGTAACAACTGTGTGAACAAAAGAATCATGGAATTAAGCAACATAAATAATCACTAAGAGTAGGACTGACTTCAGCACAAAACTACTGGTTTTGTGGGAGCTGGGCTATGAAGGCATTTGCATATTTTTGTGATATGCCCTTGGAATGTTTTTCATTTTAAGCAGAGGCAATGAAGTCACCTGACTTAAGTATGCCTCAAAGAGCCACAGCCACCTGATGTATTGAAAGATATTTGAAAATGGTGGCATGGGGAGTGGGGTAGCTTAGCTGTGATCCTTAACTGTTCCCCCACTCGTCACTTCTTGCTGTGCAGTTGCACCCACTCCAACCTCAAGCTGCTTTTGCCCTTCCTGGGATCCTGACATGTGTTCCTCACTTAAACTATTTTCCTGAGTGTTGAGTTTCCTTTTAAAAGAGAACATTCCAGCAATTTTCTTGTGGGAATACAAAGAAACAACATGCAGGCTTTACTTTAATCAGTTGTATGCTAAGAAATAAATCTCTCTTCACTTTTCATCATTTCTGGCCAGCAAGTTCATCATGACAAGCCCAAGTTATTTATTTTAAATAAAATTAGTGTGTATTTCACTGAAATAAATTTATTTTTTAAAGGGTTGCATTCAGTATCTTTATCCAGGCAGCAGAAAGCTAACACTGGTGATGGGACCTTCATGTGCCCTCCCCCTCCTTGCAGCTCTGCAGTACTGGGGGACCCTCTGTAGGAGATTTTGAAGGCATGCACAAGGAAAGAGCAGGAGAGGATGTGGTTGTTCCATTTTGCAAGCAGTATCATGCTTCCAGGGAAACACTGATGCTAGTTACAACTCCCAAATAAGCATTTCTTGCAGTGGCTCTAGGTCTGCATGTTCATTTCAGAGAACTGGTGATCAGGTTTCTGGTTTTACTGTTCCTTTGGTAAACATTTGATACTTTCTGGTTCTTCCCTGTCACAGAGATCCAATGATGTTTACAACATCCATGGACTTATCTTCTTCTATCAGCACAACATATGGAAGCCCACAGTTGCCGTAAGAATCCCTGCTTGAGCAGGCACCTTTGTGTTTTGTATGCATGTGTGTGTGTTTGCATGTGTGTGTGTGTGGGGGGGAGGCACATTTGTACATCATGTTAACCCACCCTGACAATAAGCCTCAGCGGGCTGGTTGTTGGCCAAACAATCCATTCCCTCCTCCTCTCTCAGTCTTCCTGCAAGTAATCATGCAGCAGGACTGATGGGTGTGCCTTTGCCAGACGTGATTAACAATAGTTTTCAGTTCACTGTGGCATTTTGTCTCTTCACCTTCCCCCTCTCCCCAGAAATCATGGAAGTATAGCCTGCTTTCTTGATCCCCATTTTGACAGCCAGTGACAGCCCCTTCAAAGTGTCAAAGTGGTACCTTGGATGGACTGTCAGCAGATGGCAAACTTAAAAAAATATTTTTGCACACACACTTGTTTGGTATTATTATTAGTAGTATTAGTATTTTACATGTATTTGTGCAACTGCATAAATCAAAGCTGTTGGTTGAGGATGCCTGCTGTCAGAGTACAACAGGTACAAACCCTGGACATTACGTCAAAGAGGGTTCAGGTAGGCTTTTATCCCCTTTGCTTTCCCTTGACAGCTGTCAAGTATCAAGGGAAAGCAAAGTTGTGAGTGATCTTAGCTTGCAAAAACAAAACAGTGAGATTTATACTCACTTCATGGCAAGATCCTTTGCCCTGATAGTCCTCAGGCTAATGCACATTTCACACAATACCCCAATATTCTAGCTGCTGGGGAGTGTGCAAAAGTGCATCCCACCCTCTTTTCTGGGGAAAAGGGTTTTGGGTTTTAGCAGGACAATGGGTGTTTTTTGACTGGGACATATGCAGTGTTCCTATGCACTTGCAGCTAAAATAAATCCCATTTTTGTGCAGTGTGTGGATAAAAATACTTTAGAAAAGTTTGCCAACCACTGAAAGCCTCTCCATTGTGCTACTTGGGCACTTTGAAGGGACTGTCAGGGGCAGTCAAAAGATCTCACATCTGGCTGTCAAGCTGACCTTTGCAATCAGAAAAAAAAGTACAAGGACCAAAGTTACCAATAGAAAAAATGGCTCATGAAAGCAACAGGGAATGCAGCAAGCTAGTATCAGCCACTTGGTCATTTGTGACATTGGTGGGTACCCAGGCAAGTTTGGCAAGAGCACCAAAGATTTTTATATTGCTCTAGCCAAGAGGCTCAATAGCAAATTCCCAGTACTCATGATGAAGTTGGTCAGTCAGGTTCAGAATGACAGAGCAACTCGCTGTGGATACAGCCTCCTGTACAACAAGCTCTCAAACAAGTCACCCTTTGGGAATTGCTCCAGATTTGCATGATATGACAACCCATTGTGGGTAACCACCCAGGATAAGCTGCCAAGTCATGTGAACCCACTGTGTTTGTGTGAGAGACAGAGGGACTGAAGGTTACACATGTATATCACTAAAAACCTATTTCCAGAAAAAAAAAATCCCTATATCTAGGTAATCTGTAGAAAAGCAGTAAACATGGCAATAATCCAATATTATTATAATAATCAGGACTTTATAACATAATCTGTTTATTAGAATATGTTTATATATATTCACTCTGTTCACCAAATTAATGTTGGTTCTTCCTCTTCTTCAGTATAGTATGGTGATATCAGGCATATCGTATGTATTTATTAAATACCTTTGTCCAAAGATTTGTTTAGTTCTCATGCCTCTCAGATACAATTTTGCTGAGTACAGCTAATGCAGATTTTGTTTTTTGAGCAAGAAACTGATCAGACATGGCACTGCCTGGAGAGCCAAAGCGTTGAATGCCATTTTTGAGAACATTTTCATTCCTATCAGCCAGGAGGCTTAAGCTGGTACCTTGTGGAACCTTAGTCTATTGCACCTTATTCTATTCCCTAGTGTAAGTTGAGTTGGCCTGGTTGTCTACTCATTTCTTTTCATTTCTTTTCTTGTTCTCCGTAGTGAATTAATGACATACAATCTGGGAAATGCTTCACCCCTTGGTCCAGTGGAGCCATATCCAATGCAGCCAGTTGTCGATATGGATGTCTGCATGTCTGGTATCACCCCAACATGTGCAAGGGATCTTCAGCTCCATGTAGTACCAAACCAGATCAGGTGAATAAGGCAACTTAAAGGTGGGGATGAAGTTTGTTCATAGGGGTACATTTCAGTTGCTTAGAATAGTGAAAAAGGCTGTGCAAAAGGCAGGAGATAACTGCTCAACAATTGGTGATTGGGGGAAATGGGATGGGGCCTGGTAGAAGAGGGAATTTACCTACCCTCTCCTGCCAGCAGGGACTGCTTCCTCTTTCTGTATTCTATCTCAGGACATGTCATGGCTTCTCCCAAAGAACCTTGGGAATAATCTTTTTGAGAAGGGCCCATGAAATCATGGCTAGCAATGGCTCTTCCTTTTCATGGCACCATGGCTCCCACAGTTTTAGTTGGGAGTATGTCTGAAGAATTAAACCAGCTTGAAACTAATTTTATTATATAATGTAGACATGCCCTAATTTTTGAGCATGGGTTGGCATGAAGATTGATAGTGCCATTCATTTTGTAAAATGAGCTAAAAATTAAGTGTTAAAGGGTGGAGGTGCAAGTGAGTCTAAATCTGAATGTTGCAGTAGTAGGCTTGACATGGATAGCTTGGCTGCTAATGAAATGTCAGAAAAAGGAGGAGATACCCAGGCAGTATTTGGGAGAGGAACCATAGTCAGTCCTCAGACTTCTTGGACAAATGTGGCTGGGGGCAGGGCAGCAGCAGAAAAAGATGAGGCGAAGCAGTAGAAAGGAGTAATTCTTCCAATTTGTGGAGTTGCTTTACAAGGGCTTTAACCTTGCACCCACCCACATTTTCTTTTGACTTTCCAGTATGCCTGACACAATTTTGCCACCCTCTGATGAAGAACTCGACCATCTACTAGATTCTATGCATGACCTGAATCGCTTCTGTCAGGATCCAGCATGACTGTCCTCTGTTCAGAATCTCCATATCCAGAGCTTTGGAGGGACTTTTATGGACTGCAGAGCCATCAAGTCTGGACACACTAGAGCCATGTTGGTTGATGTCCCCAGATTTTGTGGCTCCACCCATGCCTGCGCTCAGAATGCTCAGACCCGCTCTTGAATCAAGAGCAGCTTCGATTCTGTGTTGGAACAGACTGATGAAACTGTATGCTCCGCCAAGGTGCTTTTGCCAGTTTTGACTAGGCTGGGGAGCCCTGCTACTATGTTCTCCCTCCCTTGTTGCTTGACACTGTCCTCTGGGGGTACAGGGCAAGATGGCCCTGGAGCTACTTCTGAACTCTTGGGAGTGACAGGCTTCCTGTTGTAAAATGTTGTACTTTGATCACCAGCCCAGACAAGGAAATGCTTTCTCAAGATCTTTGGACTCAGATGCTCTCTTGGGTTAAGCTTGGTTGGGCAGCCAATTCCTTCATATATCCACTTTGAGCAGCTGGGCATATGGAATTACTCCAGTTGGGTCTTCTGTGCCATTTTTCCAGAAGGGACACCATATTCCTGCCCAAGATTAAACATCCAGAAATCCATTGAACGTCACAGTGCTGGTCCTCCTATGATGCAAAGTGAGGTGAGATTGTGGATATTTGGAAGGTGAGAAATGGGGGAAAGTGGTGGAAAGGTGCTGGAGGCTAGATATTTGAATGCTACATGGCCCCCCATGCCTTGTCCTGCCCAAGCTAGCCTCCTGCCAAAAGTGATGGTGGAGGACATTTGTCGTCAGTTTCAAGAAAGAGTCAATTGCCAGATACCTTGGCTTCTGTACATGGAAAGAGAAACCTGACTTTGTCCTTCAACTCAGGGAGCAAAATAATTGTGTGCAAGCCCCCAGATTTGCACATTATCCTGTTTGACTGGAGCCCAGATCCTCCATTAAACACATTTTTCAGAATTATTCATTTCAAAAGCAATGCTGGGTTGTGAGATCCAGACATAAAAGCCCATGAGTCATTTCTCCTGTCTGGGCAAGTGTGGAGCTTAGTCTTTCTCTAGTCTACCAGCCAGTATCTTCTTCAACTTTTCTTGCCTTTACCTTCTGTGTTATTCAATCTCTATACCCCCACCCTGATCTGCCAATGTCCCTTAATATCATCTTGCAGCCGGTATAGAGTGCAATGTAAGACTTTAACATTTAAGCCAATAAAATAAGACTTTATTCCAAAATAACAAAATAAATAATCTACTGTACACATTACAAAGGAAAGGGTGCTAGTTTTCCTATAAAGACACCAAAGGCTCTATGGGAGAGGGTAACAACTAGAACCAAAAGCAGATGTGTACTTATGTTGCCTCAGCAGGATTTCAAGGCTTCCCTGAACGATCTGTTCTGCACCTGCATTTTCAAGCAATAGTTGTTTCAGTTAAGTAAGACCCTGGACTGCTGCACTGGCCATGCCTTTGGGGTGAAGTGACCGCTACTCCTCTTTCACTCCCCTCCCAAGAAGCAGTGGTTCTGTTAGAGTTCCTTGTGTTGGGTGAACAAGAATGGAGGAGGTTGCCTTTCTCTGGGCCTGCCAAGTCCAACAAGCAATCAAGCTGACTTGCTACATTGGAGAGCTTGCAGAAGAACAACAGGGGGGACAGGTGCCCCCTTTCCTCCAACGGTATTCTCAACTTCAGTGCCTCTCCTTCATTCCCCTTAATTATTCAGCAGGGAAAGGGGGCTTGTCAAGAAAACCCTTGAAGGAGGAAACACCCCCACCCTGGCACACAGTATGACCCAGGATAGGAGCTGCAAGATGAAGTTTTGCTTAGGATAACAATACATTTGAAATGGCCCTGGTCTCTTTAAAAATCATTGTACCTATCTGCCAAGAAGTAGTTAGCTCCAAAAACTTTTGTGCTGTCCCCCTGTTCAAAGGTCGCAGGAGAGTCAATGGTAGATTATCAATGAAGTGTTCAGGAGTGCTTGAACAGCAAACAACTGAAGCTTGGAGTGTGAATTTGAAACTAGTTGGACCAATGCCAGTGGTAAATGGCATGAACACCTGCGCTTTGTACCTGTACTTTATGTGGCTGCCTTTTGCTAGTGCAGTGATGCAGCGACTTCTTGTCTAAATGCAGCAGCTGCTCCAAGATGGAAAATCTATGCCTCCTTGGTGTTGGTGGGTGTGGTTCAAACTATTGCAGGTACACACCACAGCTTGTGGCAACCCAGATCTACTTTCCAGAAGAAGGGGAATTTCATGAGATGAAAGGCTCTGTTTGCCAACAATCACTCTGCCCAATTTTGGGGATTCCTTCCTCTCCAGCCACACACTGCAGCTTAGCCCAGTCGATGGGACGGGACGGATGGGACGTCAAGTCGACTTCAGCTAGAGCAAAGGATCCAATGTGAATCTAGATCCAACCTAATTCTGCAAGTGCTTAATTCCTCTTGGTAGTTTATTTCCCTTCTTGCTTGTGTTAGAACTGCAAGAAAGAAAAGTATAGACAACCCTCAAGAATGTGAGATGAAAGCCTCTGGATATTTGGAATGCTGGGGATGGGGAGAAGGAAAGTATTTTGAAGTGAATGAATGGTTTTCCTTCAGATTTTCATTAAGACAAGACCATCTCCTCCTTCCTTGACCCTAACCCTTCTTAGGCTATCTACAGATCATGTAAACTTAGGGTATAGGGAAGATTTCAGGCAAAAAGCCTTTATAGTCAGTTCCAGTTCCTGCAGCTGTATAATTTCAGTATATTGCAAAGTATTAAGCTGCTACTGGATGGCGACAGGGACGGAACAGTAATTGTCACTGGTATGCCTGCAAACAAATGGTGACAATTTTTTTGCTGGCTGCTCAGCTGTAAAATTCTAGAACAGATTCTTTAGAGCAGTTATGGAAGCAAAGTACTTCAAAGCCTTTGAACCAGGGCTGAGCAATGCTCAGTACTATTGGTGACTAAACATCAAGTCAGACCAAGGGAGGTAATGATGACAGAGCTGTTCTCAGCTTTCTGCAGGAGTTCTGCATCAAAGAGTGAGATAACTTGATGGGTGGACATGAGGGATGTGTCTCACTAGGGGTATTTGCGCATAAGTTAGGGGTGTGTGTGTGTGAGAGAGAGAGAGAGGGAATGGCAGTGAGAAAAATGGTTTGTATGTACACATATGGAAGGCATGTATGAGTCAGTGCGTGGTTGTAAGAAATGTGGGCGTAGAGAGCATTTGGGAAGAAGATCAGTGTTTTGTAGCTGGGAAACTGAATGCTTTTCCATAAAGGGCAGAAAGCATATTTATGTGCTTTTCTTAAAAATGGCTGTGTACACCACAGTCCCAGGTCCCACATGAGGGGAAAGGCTGTGGGTGAGACTGACCTCACAGGGCCAAACCAGCCAGGGGCTTGGCCTCCCTGAGCTCATGGCTATCAGCTGCAACCAAGATGCCCCTCCTGCACTATTAATAGGGTGAGATAGGCCTGGCACATGGCACGCATTCTCTGTTCTCCATTTTGTGAAGAGAACTAGGAGTGGGTAATGGGTGCGTTGTGCTAATATGGTGGTTCTTCAGCCAAGGAAGTCAAGCATGCCTCCTTGTGGCGGTGCAGAGGATTGCATCCCTCTCCCCTGCAGGCTTTCTGATGTGCAGAGCTAGTTGGCACATTATTGCTTGGTGACCGAGCAACAAGTCACCTGCCGCTCATTGCCGGCTGGTTTCTGGTTCCACCTTGACACTGTTCCTTCTCACATCAGGCTGTGCTGCTGGAGGCTGGCACCGCTCAGAAAGGTTTTCCCCAAACTCTAGAATGAGAAATTAAGAGTAAAGAAGAGGAGTGCAATTTCCTGACCAAGGCTTGCTTCTTTTTAATTATTCATGTAAAGCAGCTGTCACATCTCTCAACTTGCTACAGATGCATGTCCCCCACTGGTGAAATGTTTTCTTCTGAGATGTTCTGCATTTGAGCCCTGAAACACCTTACCCATAACTTTTCTCTACCATTCTGCAGGAACAATGGGGAAAGGTGCAGATCTTTGCCTGTCAACGGTTATTTTGATAATGTAAACTTAATTTCTAATGAAATGCAATGGACAGGCACTTTTCCCATCTGTGACATCAGGTTTGTTCCTGCTACACAGTGCTTTTTTTGTAAGTAAAATGGTGCCGGAACTCATGAAATTATTTACCTTTCACACGTAGTCAATCACTGTACACACACCCACACACATCAGTTGTGTAACGAAACATAACGGTTGCCACCCGCAGTAAACACTCACCGCACGACCACACAACCAATCACAAGCTGAGCAGCGCCATCACAACCAGCGCAGACGAAGTATGCGTGCATCGGATTCGACACACAAGCAGCCCGCATGCACCATTTTAATGATTTTGCTGCCGACCTGCTATGCTCAACAGGGCAATTCAAATCCATGTGGACCAAACATCAAATTTTCAGAAGTTACTTTTAAAACTTGGAAAATTTGTCGAAAAAAGGTGCCGGAACTCCATTCCGGTGCGTTCTATGACAAAAAAAGCACTGCTGCTACGTATTTGTTAAGTATGAATCAGCAGGATGAACTGATGCAATAACCCTGAGCTTTTTATAGCACTCAAACTCCATATTGGAAGCAAGCAAAAGTGCATCAATCTTAGTGAATGTGCACACAAGTTCCAGTTGTTTAAACCTGGCTGCTTCACACCCTTTTTCCTGACCATGCCTGCCTAGGCAGTGCTTGTTCAAAGCACATTTAGGCAACCTGTGGTGCCTGGATACTCTCTGTGAATGAACAGTCCCTGAGGTGCCCTGCCCACTTTCCTCCCTGTCCAGCTGATCAGCCACCAGCTGGGTGATGAGGAATAATTTCTGTGGGTGTGGAAAGGAGGCATTATTGTTGCCCCCCCATGTTCCCAATGCTGAGATATTTTGAGGAGAAAGAAGCTTTAAATTCACCACATTGATCTCAGTGGAAGGTGTGGGAGACTTAAACCTCCCCATCCCTTAGATGTGAGTGGGTCTGCATAGCCCTCAATTCATTTCCCAGGACTGCATGCAGCTCTTAAAGCTAAAAAGATTGTCAATATCTGGCCCAGACTATCCTTCTGAACTAAACTAATGGCTTAGTGTGTACAGTGCTTAACTTAACTATTCATCAGCAAGAGCAATGTAAATTTCATTTCACAATAAACTTTTCACTGATTGCTTTTCAAAGAGGATGATATGCTTCCCACCTCATTTCCACAAGCTTGAAAGCTTTTTCCTATTTATGGGCAAGACAGGAACCCAGTTTTCCAAGACTTTTTTTTGGTGGGGAGGGGGATCCTACAGTTAAGGAGATTCTGCTACAATAAGTTAATTTCTTGCTATTGTTTGATTATTCTCAGACAACATGAACACTGGGCTCAGACAAGCCGGGTATCTGCCTTTGGGCCCTTGATACACACTTGAAATAGAAAGCTATTGCCTTTTGTTTTAAAGTCTTTGTTTTAAGTGATTTCCTAAGAATAAATCAATGCATTAATTTCCCTGTCCTTGAGCCTTTTGCACCTACCAGTGCACTAAATTCTTTATGTGTCAGCCTTCTGCACCTTAGTGCCTTTCATTTATTTTGGACTTCCACTCCCATTGGCTCCTGCCAGCATGGTCATGAATGCTAGGAACCAAAATCCCAAACACCTGGAAGGTACCACAGGTGGGGGGAGGCTGCTATGTGTGAGAGGTAAGCAGTTATTTTGGCTTTACTGGAGAATCTTTGTCTCTTCCATATAGCTAAGAAGCAGGACAAAGAGAAAATTAGAGAGCATTGCCATCATCATAACAAGGAAATGCTTCAGAATGCACAGCATAGGAGGTTGGCACCCCCTCCCAAAAGCAACAGGCCTAGGATAAGGTCAAATCTCCAGCAGCTTGGGGCTAAAACATACAATCCTTCCTAAGATTTTCAAAGCTGGCCATCTCTGAATTATATACCATTCCCTCACTGTTTTCCTCTAGGATCTCAGTTTCCCAGGCAACAATTAAGTCACAAACCCCTGGAGTGGCAAGATGAGCCTCACACCAACCCACATTTGATGGAAAGCTGTGAGCCTGCTCAGTAACAGGACCACCTCCCACAAAACAAAGCAACCCTCCTACATCTTCCTGCATGACCCCCCTCATGCATGCTTTCTCCTTGCAGATAGCTTGAAGGTTTTTCTTTTCTTTACTAAACGGCGATTGAACACTCTTTGCACTGCAAGAGCAGGGGACCTCTGACAGCCTGAGGACAGAATTCCAGTTTGGAGAAGCTCTCTGGGGCCACATTCCAGCAGTAGGCAAGGTCAAAATACCCAAAGTACCATTCTATTTTAACTTAATACTCTTATTGCCAGTAAGTAAGCCTTGGGAGGGGCATTTCAAATTTTCCAAATACAGGCAACAATTATAAATGCTAGGAAGCACTAAATGCTTGATGGTTGGAAGAAAGCCCCCAGCCATCTGGGAAATGTTGGAGGGCTGAATTTGGCCCCTGGCCATTTGGTTCTGCATTCCTGCTGTACAGCTGGCAGTGATGGCTTTCTCAGTTCTAAGTCTCTTGCTCCATGCTATTCACATGCTCCTTGCTGTCCCGGTACATCATAATATTACTTTATTCATGCTCACGGATGATCCTTTCCTTGCTACCCCAAAACTTAGCTGGAAGCCCAGAAAGGGAAACAGCAGCTTACCAGGCAGCTGGGCTTTTCCTGGCAGGCAGGGGCTGACCCGTCCTACCCGCTCGTGGGATACCAGCCGGGCCAACCGCAGCCCTTCATCCATCAGCGTCTGCTGCAGGATATGACGGCTCCATAGTCCATGGGGCGGGAGACTCAGCAGTGTGTCGGGAGTAGTGTTGGGGGGGGGTGTCAGCCGCGGACATGAGCCTGTGGCTGCAGAGAAAGAGGATCAGTTGGGAGGGTTGCCCATTTAACCTGAGGCAAGAACAGACTGAACCAGCGGCACCGCGCCCTCTAAATGACCCGACCTCCCCAAGAGCTTAGACTCCCTTTTCCAAATGAGATCAGTGTTGGTTCTCAAAATTAACCTCTATAAAGAAAAGTGCCCAGCCTGGTGTCCTTGGTTTGTAAAGGTCTGAGTCACGGCAGGCAGCAGATCTGCGTCCCTGGTGTTCTGCAACCCAGAAGCACCACAGGTAGGTTGCCTGAGAGAACAGAGCAAGGCAGGGTGCTTTCTTCTAGACCGCTTCCTGTTGGAAGGGGAACCATAGCAGCTTCCTTTTCATTCTGTTAGACCGAATTCAGTGTAACTCCAATGCTTGCATATCGCTCAACCAAGGTAGACTGCCATGAAAAACAGTCATGAAAAAACAGCCATCAACTGCCACTGGTTTAGATTTTTGACTGTAATCACATTTCCCAATGACATTTTATATATTTGCTAAATGTCCATTCCACTTGTTTAATCTAGCCAAAAAGACATTCTAATTGGTAGTTCTAAACTAAGGAATTTACATTATCTCAGAGGATGTACTTTGCATTAGGTAATTTTTTAATTATTTTTAGAAAATATTAGGTAGCATGCTTATAACAAGTAACTCCTTGTGGTGAGCATGTGTGTTAAACAGTGTTGTCTTCCATTCTATTTGGTATTATTTCCAGCTTCCTAATCTTAAAGTTGTGGGGCTGCTTTTGTTTGTTTTGGTGCCTCCTGTGTCAAGAACTTCACCATGTTGAAGCACATGGGGCAAAATATTGGTTGAGTTGCAGCAATGCTGAAGTAGCAGTGCCAACTGAAAAGTGAAAAGCTAATCAGGAAAAAAGATCAAACTTAATTAACTCTGTCCTGCCACTGCAATTGCCCATGTGTTTGTTAGATGTAAGTCGCATTGGGACTTACTCCCAGGTAAACTGAAATAGGACTGAAGTTTTAATTTACACCACTGGTCATGCTGGTAGGGTTTTCTGGAAGTCCTAAACATCTGAAAAGCTGCCATCTGCCCATTGCTAACTTGACTATTGCAGCTTTTCTCCCATAGAACAGGAGTTTTGGGGAGCAGCTATAATTTAGGCAATACAAACATCCCTAAGAGTAGATGTTGATGGTGTCATAGTAATATTAATGACGAAATAATTATCTGCGTCACCTGCAAAAACAATTGTGTGTTGTGTGAAGAAACAGTAGGGGCAAACTTACAGTCATTCAGTTGCTCAAGTCCAAATCAGCTAGAATGTTGTTAAGTGGAGATTTATTTATTTGT